CCTTTATGGAAGGCAGAGATGCCGAACGAAGAGGCAACCAATAACGATGTCCAAACTGGGCGAGAAGGGCGTCGTCATTGGCGGCGTCGCATCCTAACACGATCACCATACTGTGCGCTCGCATCAGGGTTTTGGCTAACATAGGGAACCATTACAGTAAAAGCTGTTCCCGACTGTAGGCAGTCGATACATTATGCGAAGCTAGTGCGAACGGCGTGTTCGAGCATTTTTGTTACTCATCATCACTACAACTAGCTTTTAATTTAATGAAATCTAGAACCCCTGGTCTGCCCGGGCAGTTTTTCGAGAAATCGATGAATTTACATTCGCAGTGTGCTACGTGTCCCACCTTCTTCCGGCTCCACCTCAAACTCCGTATCAGCCCCGGCTTCAGCAGCTGCTTTCAGCGTCTGTTCCATACCGGCGATCAAGTAACTTCGAGCTCTTACATCACTTTCACGAAACTGCGCACAGCAGAAGCTTATCTGCAAAAAAATTATGCTACTTTTATTGTCTCCAACTCAAATCGGGAATTCCTACCTGTACGAAGGTGCGGAATGGTGCTGAGGCTAGGGAATATAGAGCATATTGTAAGTCCTCGCTTGGACAAGGCAAAGGCGAAACCTAAATTGATTCTTTTAGAAAGTTTAATTTTCGCAATTTTAAGCCAACTAACACTGATAGATTCCACCATAACATCGACATGTAGTGATAGTTGCTTCAAGTTTGGGAGATTTGGAGGATTTGGGCCAAGTAGCCGACCCAAGTAACCGCCGGGTGTATACGGGGAGCAGTCTGAAGAAAGATACATGCCTTTAAAATAATTAAGGATTAAGGTAGGTTATAAATCTAAAAGTGGTTTTCTATTTGAGTACTGAATAGAAGGCCAACCCGCTGGGGCAGCTTTCTTGATTTATCCGTAGTTGAGATTCACCTCTGAACCCTTGCCCAATACCGTACTCCAAAGTGCTGAATGGTTGATCTGCTCGGGTACGGTATGAGGGACAGTTCAAAGTTCAATTTCTCGGCCATGAATGCATATATGAGTCACAATTACTCAACTAAAGGTCGCCAAATTTTTTATATAAGGAGCTCAGATAAATAACCTGAGCACCAATTCCAAAGTTCTGGATTACTGTATGTACTTACCGCCAACATTTGTAGACGAATATGGATTTCTGA